ACGAACATAGTTCATCTGGTACGATCAGTATGAAGCATGAGTCCAGAGAACATCGTGCTGGGGCAAATGTATAAGTTCATCTTGATGAACAATATTAAGCATGAGTCCAGAGGACATCGTCTTGGGACGAATGTATAAGTTCGTCTGGACGAACAATATGAAGCATGAGTCCAGAGGACATCGTCCTGGGATGAATGTATAAGTTCGTCTGGACGAATAATGCATAGTGAGAAATCAGAGAACATCATCCAGGGACGAATGGTACACTTCATCTGGACGAATAGTTTAAAGTGAGAAATCAGAGGACATCGTCCAAGGATGAACTTGATAAATTCGTCCGGACGATCAGGACTTAGAAAAATTTTCTCACTTTTCTGTTCATTCCATTGCTCTCCGAGGGGTATAACTGACCTGATCGTCCCGTACGATCAGTATAAGAAATTTGACTTTTAAAGATCTCCCCTAGTGTATGTGTGCTAAGTTACTCAATTATAATCACACTCATTCTTACTCAAAATTAACAAAATAAAGACTCCAAATTACAAAATAATATAGTCAGATTTTTATTTGAAGTCTTCACCAATCTGGAGTATGATTTCCTTGAAATATTAGTACACACAAGAGCAAAAAATAATGCTTTCAAAATGTGTTAGACGAAATTAAATAATCAATACAATAATATTTGGAATTATCAAAATAATAAGTTGCAATAATATAAAACATGCAAAAGCTAAGTAATAACTTTCTTAACAGCAATTCCATCTAAATTTACTATTACATGAGCATGAACTATAATGAGACTATTTCTGACATATACACTATCTTTGCTAATATTATAATATCATTGCATGCTTTATATAGAGAACTCTCAAATTCTGAAAATATTAGTAAAATTTTATACTATTTGCCCAATAGTTTTGATGCCAAAGTCACTATAATATGTGAATCTAAAGATTTAAATGTATACTTTATTGATAGTTTATTGGCTCTCTCATTGCATATAAGAAAAATGTGAGCCAAATACTTCATGGTGCAACAACTGTGGCATTGAAGGCCAATGACATGGAAAGCAACAACTTAGAAGCTGAAGGAAGCGAGGATATAGCCTTGATGACTTGACAATTCAAGAGCTTCCTAAAGTGAAAATAAAAATGCCATCATGAGAGGAACAAAGGTAAATAGGGTAAATTTAAAAAAGTTTCATTTGATGTTATTTATTTTAAGTGCAGAAAGCGAGGGCATTTATGATCTGATTTCCCCAACATCAAGAACCACCCTATTAAGAAAAATGGTGAAGAAAAATTTAACTCCAAAAAGGGCAAGTAGAGCACGCAAATGGATTTTTGGGCAGACTCAGTCTGAGACTCATCATAACAAGAGGTAGAAGATGAGAAAATAAATATATATTTAATGACCAATTATTCAATCATTAATTCTGATCAAGAAAATATATGTGGGCTATATTATGATGAGTTGTTTACTATTTGTGAGACCTCGTTCCCTTACTGTTCCTCTCATGATTTGGATTTTTTCCTCTCAGGATCGTCCAGGACGATTGGAAATCGTTCAGGCCGATCGGCACTGTAGAAAATATCGGCCTGAGAATAGTTCTGGGAATCGTCCAGGA